TCTCTCTCTCTCTCTCTCTCTCTCTCTCTCTCTCTCTCTCTCTCTCTCGTCCACTTATGCAGCCCGGCGTTTCCTCTTCTGGGACCTGACTCTTTATTTAAAATGGCTGCCTTCGTGGTTAATGGCGTTTTTTTGTTTCTTTTTGCGTGATTCGGCAGAATGCCAAATGTAGTCGGCTAAAGTCAGAGCCACATGTTACTCTCTCTCCTCCCACCTCAACCCGCATTTAAACTGCTGCAGTTGTGAATCCAGCGGTCGACGGACTGGTTCATATGGGGTGAACGCAACATGATCCTCCATGCCTTTTGCAACCCCCTCTGCGCACACACACACACACACACACACCATCTCTGCACACACCCCCCCCCCTAGCTGCATGCCATTGTCACTCTCTGGATGAGTGCTATTAGAACCTGCTTTCAGCTCCTCTCATCTCTCACACATGTACGACACGCTCGCACACTTTCCACACACACTAACACGCACACACACACACACCTCTCTGTGTGTCTTCTGAATGCCAGCTCAGCTTCTGTGCACATGGTCGGTGCACAACCTGGTCAGTCTTTGGTGTCAACGGGAGACCTTCATCTCAGCATGGACAGTTATGCTTCGGTTGGATTGTCTTGTCATTGCCCCTAAATTTCCCTTTTAAATGGATGTGTAGTTCACATAGAGTTTACTCTATTGCAAACACAACTCTTCATCCATGTGCTCCCTTCTGTTATCGAGGCGTTAGGAAACATAATCGGGAGATCAACTGAGAACTTGAGATAGCAACTTCAGACAAGCGGACTAAACAAAAAATCTAAGTGTCCCCCCCACCCCCTCTCCCTCGCACCTGTCCGGTGCTCCAGTGAAAGTGAAGGAGATGGGAAAGGGGACTGAAGTCCTGACGGGTATATGGACATGAATCCCAGAGGGGTAATCAGCTGAGCCACAGCGCTGAGAGTAAACTCACATCTTTCTTAAACCGGGGCCATGTTTGTGTGTGTGTCTGCGTTTTGTCTTATGCTCGCGAGACGCATCTCTGCCACCTGTTACCCGAACATAACCCCGACGGGCATGCATTAATGTGTAGGCATTCTTGCTTGCAAGACAGAATGTGCGCATATGTGTCAGACTTCTCCCCAGGCTCCTCCTCTCCAAACTGAATTGGATACTCACGGCAGGCAGCAAAAAGGGACCCCTGTCTCAGATAAATATTCAAAGACTTTGAAGTGTGACCTCAGGGGGACTGCTGATACAATACAGATCATTTCAGGGGACAGTATTTATAGCATTGGTTTAGAAATGTAGCTAAGTTGGATGTCTGGGGAGCAGCATTATGGTGTCCGTCATGACTAGCAAACACACACACACACACACACACTTCCCTGCTAGGACTGACAGAAATAGCAAGCCATTAACAATTAGTGCTCGACTCAGCCCAGACCTGAAGTGAATTTGAATGTTTGACATCAAGCATTTTTCACCATTTATGGTATTTTTCACTTTATTTCGTGCAACAAAAAACAAAGCTGCTTGTTTTCTGCCACATTCACCTTGTGATTCGTTGATTCTCAATGCAATGTTTTATTTAGTCTGCATTGAAGGATGTCAGAGGACCACGAGACCTCATGAGATACTGTACTTGATTTGAGCTAAATGCTAACCTCAGCATAGCAACATGTCATTCTGACGGCTCCATCTTGTCCCCTCTGCGTGCCGCCTTCAGGGCCGTTGTTCCAGGGAGAACTGCAAGTACCTGCACCCTCCTCCCCACCTAAAGACCCAGCTGGAGATTAACGGCAGGAACAACTTGATCCAGCAGAAGAACATGGTCATGCTCGCCCAACAGATGCATCTCGCCAACGCCATGATACCTGGCACGCAGCTACCACCTATGGTGAGAGGACACACACGTATGAACACAGCACAGCTGATGCACACGGTGAGACCACATACATGTAAAAGCTGACACACGTACAGCACCTTCACTGTCTGCGTGGCTCTTTCAGTCTTTTGACTGTCATTTGTCATTTGTCCCTCTCTCTTCCCATACAAAAAAGCACACGGTTTGTGGTTCCCGTTTACATATAATCATTTCATTCTCCTGCTTTTATTTTCCGTCCCTTCCAGCCCATGTTCTCGATGGCACCAGGCATGGCCACCAACGCCAGTGCAGCAGCAGCAGCTGCAGCCGCAGCCTTTAATCCCTACCTGAGTCCCATGTCACCAGGCCTGATGCCCCAAGAGATAATGCCCAGCACCCCCGTCCTCATGGCCTCCAGCCCCAACGTCGGCCAAGTCCCCAACTCTGCCGCTGCCGCAGCCCAGAAACTGCTGAGAACAGATAGACTCGAGGTAACGGGCTGATGCATTGAACCTGGTCTTCTCAACATTGTTATGAAGCACAGAGTCAAGCCACTCCTCACTAAAAACTAATAAAATCTACTTCATGGTGTGTTTCTTAGTGGGAGGGGAGTGGCCCAGGATTATAATGAGCCTGTAAACAAGTGTTATTAACAAGTGGTTTAACAAGCAAAAGTATAACAGCACCATTTACTGGACTTAAATAAGCTTGTTTCAGAAACTGAATTCTAATTTGGTAACGGCTACATTTATTCAAAAGAGAAGCTGATTAAAAGAACATGAAAATAAAACCCTCAGAAGTTCATAAAGTGTAATATTTCATCAGATTATGATGCCGAGTGCATTGTCATAGTTGCTTTGTGTTTAAACTGTCTCACCTAGTTCCTGTACAGTTTGAGCGTTTCACAAAATACCCTCAGACAAGCGCCAGATGTGAGCCTGAACGTGAGGAATATTTATTTGAGTGGAACGAGCAGTAACGACTTCCACAGTAGCAGCAGAAAAGGAACACGTTCTTTCTAGTCAAGTAAAACTTAACGCTTGTTGTGGCAGCATTGCATTCTGGTCTATCGAGTCTCCTGCGTCTACCTCCTCTACCGTAGCTGGTGGTACGATCGTTTGAGTCTAGAAAGAAGCCTTTGCTCTCTGATTCTGAGACATCTCCACCAAAATTTAAAACTGTTTTGTTGCTGCACTGGAAGTATCTCAATATTTTTTCGTTTTTTTATGGTTGTAAAAAAGAAAAAAGAAGAATCACTAAACCATAAGACTCAGAAATGCCGTGTTAGAATATGTGTCCTCTTTTAAAAGTAAAATGTAAAAGTGAGTTATAAATTCTCAAACTGTGACGGTTATTGTCTTTATGGAGTTCAAACATACACTCAGAGCAGAAAAGCAGGGTAGATAGCAGATGAGTAATACCCATGCGTTCATGGCGTCTAATTTAAAAGAAGGTGCTGCCCTCTGGTGTCTCACATATAGACTTTTAAAAATATCTGAGACTCACGCTCCAATAAACACATTAGAGATATTTCTAAAGAAATTCTATCGTTATAGGGTTAGAGTGCTACAGATTCAGCACCTTCCTCAGTGGGACATTTATTCACGACCCAGCACAGCTAAACACTCTCCACAATGACAAAGGGAAGGCTTGATGAGTCACACTTGATACATTCTACATAAAGACCCAAATGCACCCAACAGGAACTGTTCTAGGACGGTTCTTGTGTTGTCTCTCTGCGCTGAATTTGGACGTACCTCCACGTCTTTTCCTGATTTCTGTCCTCTCACTTTGCTTCCAGGTGTGTCGGGAATATCAGAGAGGCAGCTGCTCTCGCGGGGAGACCGACTGTCGCTTCGCCCACCCCTCGGACAGCACCATGATCGACACCAACGACAACACCGTCACCGTGTGCATGGACTACATCAAGGGTCGATGCTCTCGGGAAAAGTGCAAGTACTTCCACCCGCCGGCCCATCTGCAGGCCAAAATTAAGGCTGCCCAGCACCAGGTGAACCAGGCCACAGCCGCCGCCGCCATGGTGAGCAGTCTGTACAAGCGTGCTCACACTCATTTACACCCACACGACAGGCTTAGAGGAGCAATCAGTGCTATCTGCTAAAAGTTCACCCAGTAGGAAGTATGCTCTGTGTCTCACCTCTCCTGGTTGGTATGATGTAGCTTTTTCAGTTCTGCTTTTGCCAGGTCAAATTATCAAGGTCTGCAACTCGGGTTGGGTAGACTCTGCTCAGGACAGGATGAAATGAAGAAGGATCAGACAATGTTGCATTATTTCCATGCTAATCTGAAAAAAAACACGACTTGTCTTGTTCCTTGTTCACCTCACCCCAGACTACAAGCAGAGAGTCAGTTCCTCTCTCTCTTTCTCTTATGGCTTGTTCTTATTCATGACACTATTGTTTCTGTACTTCCTATCTCCTACTTCTCTTCCCCTTGACATTATTAAAAGTGGCGATTCATTGTGCTGTGTCACAGTAACGGCACCTGTGAGCAATAGTGCAGCCGCTATTGTTCCGTTGAGCACAGTGTGTGTTTTCTACGCGCTCTCGTTGACGTAGCGAGGCTGAGAGCTTTGGGCCGACCCTCGTCACGTCACACTGACTATGATGCGCACAGTGAAACAGAAAGCTGTGGATCGTGCTTCTGTGTAATGTTCTGCCCTGAGACCCACTTAAAGAAATGTTTTAATACTATTCTCACCGCTATATTCATCCATCTTTGTGTGACAATAACTAATGTAGATTGGTAGCCATCATTGATTATTGATGATCATGTAACTGTCGAGCAGTAGAGCTATAGTGTCCACACTGTGCATGCCTTAGTCCTGTGATCCCCTTGTATATTGCATTCCAATGATTTGTTTTTTTATTTGTTTTTGTTTTTTCTCACCTATACCCAAACTGCACTGCTGCCCCCATGATGCACCTCTGCTTGCTGGTTTATGTTAATGCGCTTGAACCCCATTGGCCCATTGCCATCATGTGCTCGCTGCCTGCTAATTAAGACTCAGTCGGCTGTCAAATCACTGAAGCGACCCCTCGACGCAACCTTTGACCTGGTACTATGACCTTTCACCTTTTAGCTTGGCATGTGGCTTTGTTGTAGAGCAGTGTTTTAACCAAAG